ATGATAGAGTATGATGCTTCAGGTTTATGGGGATAATGTTTTGTACCTATACTCTGATAGTTTCTACCCACTGGAAACTCGGACTCCTTCCCTGGCTCCCCCAGATACAGTAGTTGAGCAAAAGCTTTATATAGCTGGGGCCCAGGGCTCCATGCCACTTCTTGGCTCTCTTCCCACTGTATCCTTGTTTGTAACTTGTCTTCCCAGTATGCAGCATGATGCCTGGCACATAGTAAGTGCTTAATAAATTCACTCAACTTATCTTCTTTCTATCCATCTACTGACATTGCTGTGTGATGCAGTTAATACCATTGCTGTGAGCTAATTGGTTAACCACTGAAGACACATGAACCAGTGGGGGTTCATGTGCTAATATTAGGGATGCAGACATACTGAATACAGTACCTTCCTTCTCTGAAGGTTCCTGAAAGGGAAGAAACAATAGATACTCAGATAAGTACAGTTTTCCCTTCTACATCATAGAGATTAGGGGCATGGTGCCCTTGCCATCTGGAAAATCCGTGTAAAAATTTTTGGCCTTCCTTTCATATCAGAGAATTATTGTGGTATTAAAAAGATAAAATATGTTGATATTGTACAATACTATGTACATATTCATATTCTATGCATTTCTGAGTTTCTAAACTTTCTGTGTCATCTGGTCTTTGTGTGTTGTCTGCGGCTTCTGCAAACCCCCCCCCCAAATTCCCATTTAATTTCTTATGCTGAACCCTAGTATATCCAAACCATGATGGGAAAAGTCGTGATGTGGAAGGGGTAATTGTATATGCAAAATAAATAAGAGAACTCTGAGAACTCTAGCACTCCCCATTCATTGTTGCATTTGTTGGGACACTAGATGGTCAACTTCCTAGGTTCAAGTTCTAGTTTCAGGGTCAGGGACTGTTCCATATTTGTCTTTGCATCATTGACAGGGGTGGGGAACCTGCAGCCTTGAGGCCACATGTGGCCCTCTAGGTCCTCAAGTTCAGCCCTTTGACTGAATCCAAACTTCACAGAATAAATCTCCTTAAAAGAATTTGTTCCTGTAAAACTTGGACTCATTCAAAAGGCTGCCCGAGGACCTAGAAGGCCATATGTGGCCTTGAGGCTACAGGTTCCCCACCCCTGACCTAGGCCTTCTAAATCCCCAGGTCTGCCTCTTCCCAATCGGCTAATAAGAGTAATTGACATTTGTTTGGCGTTTGAAAGTGTACAGAGAACATTTTACATAAATTAATCACATTCAGACCTCACAATAGGTAGCCATATGAGGTAGGTGCTAGGATAGAATTATTCTAATTTTACCAGAGAGGCAGCTGAGGCTGAGAGTGCTCAGTTGACTTGCCAGTTGTCACAGAGTTAAGCATCAGACGTGGCACTTGTAGAACAAGTCTTCCTACCTCAGAGTCCATCACTCAATTTGTTATGCCATGCTGACCTGAAAATAAGATTAGAAAAGAGTCTAAGGTAAAGGGAAGCTTACTTATCGTGACATAATGTAGTAAGGTGTGGCAACACTGAAATTATAAAACTAAATTTCCTAGGGAAGTTTGTGGTAAGAGGAAGTGAATCCCCATTTGATTTTTTTTGGAAGGTTCTTGGACTGTTTTTGCTTGTAGTGATTTTGAAGGCTCCAGTGTTCTTCTAAATGAGCAGGTCTGTTGCTTCTTCTGTAAAATGGAGGAATTGGACCAGATGAGGTGTCTCTAAAATCTCTTCCATCAAGCAATTAATAGTCATGTATCACTCATCTATTTTGTCATCTGCACTGTGCTCAACTTTGGAGCTACAAAGATCAAAAAGGAGGAGGAGGAGGAGGAGGAGGAGGAGGAAGGGAAAAAAAAACACAGCTCCTGCCCTCAAGTAGCTTTTCTTCCTTTTATTTAGGGAAAAGTGTGTATATGTGTGTGTGTGTGTGTGTGTGTGTGTGTGTGTGTGTGTATGGACATACTATATATATATATATATATATATATATATATATATATACACACACACACACACACACACACACACACACACTATATATATAGGTGGTTGACCTGAACTTTGAAGAAAGTTAGGGATTCAGTGTGATATAATGGAAAGGACCTTGCTCTGGAGGGAATAATGTCTAATAAATTTGGAAAGGAAGACTGGAGGTAGATTGGGAGGGACTTTATAAGCTAGACAGAGGAGTTTGTGTTTTTGCCTAAGGTAACAGGGAGCCACTGAAACCTCTTGAGTATGGGAGCAACATAGTCAAATCTGTGCCATAGGCATATCATTTTGGCAGCTGTATAGAAGTTAGATTGGAGAGGGGGAAGGTGTGAGGCAGAAGGAGGTAGGGTACTTTTGCAGTAATTCACGTGAGAGGTAATGAAGCCTTGATTGGAGGGTGACCATGTGAATGGAGAAGAGGGAACTGATGTAAGAGATGTAATGAGAGAGAATTGATGAGACTTGGTAACTGATTGAATATGGGGAATTAGGGAGAGTGAGGAGTTGGGCATGATCCCAGGATCTGGAACCTGGGTGAGCTGAAGGATTGTGGTCCCTCTGTAGAAGCAGGGCATTTCAGAAGAAGGGATGGATTCAGGGGAAAAGTTCCCTTTCACACATCCTAAATTTGAGATGCCTAGAAGAGAGATGTCCAGTAGGCAATTGATAACACAGCCCTGGAGCTTAGGAGGGATGAGAAAGAAGATGTGCAGATTTGGGAGTCATTTACACAGAGATGAAAATTGAGCCTATGAGAACTGATGAGACACTGAGGCGGTGAGAAAAGAAGAGGTTCGGGGATAGACAACTCAGTTGAAGGGAAGGATGTGGATGCTGTGTTTCTGTAAATATCCTCAGCAGAAACCATGTATTTTAAAAATCAGGAATTTTATTAACTGTAAAAATCCATCAGAAATGTGTGCCAGTCTATAGAATTTGTATAGCCAGTTGGGTAAAGTGAGATAAGCCTGCTTCTAGAGTTGGAGGTGGCAGCTGTCATCAGGGCAGCTTGCCTCTATTTCCTCTCTCTCTCTCTGCTTGGCCCTGAGTTTACAGTCTTTATTTTTCCCTGACATGTACATAGCTCATTGCAGTTGTCTGTGTCTGCTGTTCCAGCTCCCATATGGAGCTACGGACAGGAACTGTTGTGTTTGGATGGCGATGTAAGGAAAGCAGATGACAGATGGAACATGGTTCCAGTGTGGTGGGATGCAAGGAAGGAAGCAGGGCTTTTGAATTCCCGAGGGTGGGTTCTTTCCTTTTCCAAGAATTCAGGGGCCTTAGCATTTTGCTGCACTGACTGCAAGAATGATCTGTGTGCAGTTGCTAAGGTTGGTAAAACTGGCAAGGGCGTACTCGGGACACTTTTTGTGCTGAAAACTGCATCATTGGTGGGGAGTGTTGATTGTGGATAAAACAGTAGAGACTTGGCATGGAAAAAACAATGGATTTGAAGCCAGAGGACCTGAGTTCAAACCCCAGTGCTGCCATTTTAATACCCATGTAACTGTGGGCAACTTACTAGTAAGCATTTATTAACTGAATACTCTGGCCAGCACTATGCTAGCAGCTAGAGAAACAGAGATGAAAAAACAGACAATAGTTCCTGCCCTCAAGTAGCTTACATTCAGTTGGGTGGATACAACATTTACATGGTTTGGTAAATATAATCTGAGGAGGAAGAAAACACTGAAAATAAAGGGGCTAAATACTATTTGAATACTATTACTACCGTCACTACCACCAACACCAGCACCACCAGCACTACCACCACCGCTACCACTACTACTACTCTTACTACTACCACCACCACCACAATCACACTTATGTAGCAGTTGGTGCTTTCTATAAAATTCTTATTCAGTCCTCTTAAACAGAGGTGTCAGATATCTTACCCACAACATTCCCGAGTACGGGACAAACTGGATTGAAATGTAATTGGGAAATATTTGTAAAAATTAATAAAACACATTAAAACATAGGTAATATTACGTTTTGAAACTAAATCAATATGTGGTCTGTGGGAAACCTCATTTAGGGATTAGTGGCTCTCACCACTGCTTTCACCTGCTGTGTCTGTGGTAGGTGTGATTAGCCTGTTTTAGAAATGAAACACAGGCTCATAGGTCACACAAGTAGTAAATGTCTGAGGCAGGATTTGAACTCAGGTCTTCTAACTCTTAAACGAGGACTCTTTCTGTTGTACCATGCTTCCTGGAAATGAAATGATTAGAAATAGATCTAAGATAAAGGGAGGTTTACTTGGTGGGTTATGGGTAGGATTTGAATCCAGATTATTGTGACTTGGAGTCCAGTGTTCTTCCAGGTTCAACTCTGATCCTTTGACTCTCAGATATCTCTGAACTGATAAATGGTGAGGGTATATTCATTCATTGTAATGTACCTGTTGGGAAACCAATCAGTAAACATTTATTAAATGCCTACTATATGCCAGGCACTGTGCTAAGCACTGGGGATACAAAGAAAGGCAAAAGACAGACTACAACCAGAAATTTATTCATTCATCTGAAGAGGACCAGTGACATCATGTGATATCTTGATTTGTTGGTGAATTGGATTTAAGTGAGGAAGAGATGTAGAGTCATCAACCTCACTTCCAATCATCAAAGTCCAGTGGCAAGACAAGAAACTTGTGGTCTAATAGAGGAGACCACACACACACACACACTCTACAGGATAAATTGGAAGTAGCAGAGGGAAGGCACTGAAAATAAGGGAGATTGAAGCCATCTCTTCTTGCTTCAAATGAGAGATCTGAGGGGAGAAGGTATCTTGAGGGGTTACTGGTTTCTTTGTCACATATGGGATGTGTGTAAGGTGACTGTGAACTGCAGAAGTAGGAAACCTGGAGCTGGATCCCTTTCTAGATGCCTAGATAACATTAATATTAACCTGCCTCTCTCCACCTCTAATCTAAATACTCCATAATCAAAACTCGGAATATTGAGTTGCTGCTGATTGGATGCTGCTGTAATATTTCATTTTTCCCCTTTTAGGTGAATGTTGCAGGTTAAGGTATCTTTTTCGTAGCCTTTCTCGAAGTCGAAGAGTTGGAAGACCACTCCTCCAATTCCCTTCCCGCGTCTCAGGAGTGCCCTCGGTGAAAAGCACCATAACGGTGGGCGGTTTCTCCTGAGGAAAACCAATCCCTGCCCCTTCCCCAAGGGCAAGGTGCCCTCTGCTATGGATACCGAATCCACATACTCTGGATATTCTTACTATTCAAGTCACTCCAAGAAATCTCACAGACCAGGGTAGGTAAACTTTATTGATTATTCACCTCTTCCTTATCTGGGAAATGTTCCAGTGTGTGTTCGAGCGTTGCCTCTACCACTGATGCTGTTGAAATTGTTTCACAGGTTAAAATATTTCAAAGTAGAGTGTTGTAGACTTGGTAGAGCCGGGAGTTTGTCTCCCTTGACAATACGGGTAACTCGATCCTGAAAGAGCTTTTAAAATGCATGAGGAGTAAGTACCTGCCAAATTAGATTTTCTAGCAAGAGACAGTGGATGGCCTCTTGTTCTTTTCATAATTGATTTTAGATTAAGGTTCTTACTTCAGCTGCAGTGTTTCTTTCAGTTCTGAGAGCTTCTCCTTTAACAATTAACCAAAAATGTAAATGAAAAGGGAAGGTGTTAATTTGTCTTCTTTCCTGTCAGGGGATGTTCCTGTTCACTATGGATGGGTTAGAAGCTGCACTTTGAAATTCAATTCTTAGTAGCAATGTTGGGTCCTAAGATCATAGGTTTAGCCCTTGAAGTGACTTTTTGGGATCATTTATCCAACTCATTCATTTGACACATAAGGAAACTGAACCTCAGAAAAGGAGAGTGACCTGGTACAGGTCACACAAGAGGAAGAACTGGGATTTGAAACCAGGCCATCTGATTGCAAATCCAGAGCTCTTCCCATTGCACCAATTGCTTGAGCTGGGTCATTCTTTCTGGCTGCGCTCCTTGTCCTAGCCTATATCAATATAGCCCTCCTGGGTGATATACCCTGTGGCTATGGAACAAAGGTGTTTTCTCTGAGCAAAGCTTACTGGCCTACATACAGTCTGTATCAAAACAGTGCCTGGCCTCTTCAGGGCTATTACAACCTATGGAGCTAATTTTAGTCAGATCAAAGGGATGACCTGTTCATTGTGGTGCTACCATGGAGTGCTGTTAAACCATGGTAAGCCTCTGAACTTCTAATAAGGTATTATAGTGTTGGTTAAGGTAGTGGGTGAGATAATATAATACATTAGTTCCCATACTGTTTTAGAATCAATCATTGAAGTCTTCAGGTAGGGCTAGGAGGAAGCTAGAGCCGTAGACCACCATGGTCAGAAGATTGAAAAAATAAATACATTGGAGAAGTATCCTGTGCAGTGGAAAGAAAACAAGCAGAAGGCTTGGCCAAGTTTTAGCTTTGGTCCAACTGCATAGGAGCATGTAACTTTGCACAAGTCAGCGGGTTCCTCCTCTGTGAAATGGGGATAATAACACCCGCTTTATCGGCTTTTCAGGAATTTTTGAGGAGCATCAAATGAGACAGTGTATGTGAAAGCACTTTGTTATTGTTATTATTATTATCTATTATAAGTAAAATGATGGGGCAATGTGGAATAGGGGACAAAAGTCTTCCTGAAGAATCAGGAAGACCGGAGAGTCCTGCAGTCCTGCCTCAGATTCGTGTTTGACTCTGTGACCCTGAGCAAGACCTTTAACCCCTTAGCTGTAGCATGGTAACTCTCTAATGACTATAAATGCAGAGAAGGTGGTAATCTGTACTGGTAAAAGGAATTTCCTATTTTGGGGAGCTTCCCTTCATAGATAAAATCATAGATTCATTCTCCAAACCTGTTATTAAAATACTCTATACATTTTCAGAGCCTAGAAAAGACTTTTCTAATAGAAATGGGAGGTAAAAGGGTAGACTTACAACCCAAAGCCCCAGCCTAAGGTTGCAATACTTTTGTATTGGAATATCAGTTCTAACTGAGTATTTTGAGGTTTTCCAAATAATTTATAACAAAACAAAAGTGATTACAACAGAGAAGGTGCCCGAACTGTGGAAGCCCTTTCAAATGATGAGGCAAGTTAGGGCATAAATAAATGTGAACAATTGGATAAACAACTCAGAATCTTAACTCCCTAGACTTGCCTAGGAAAGCGTATACCTTGGCAACATATTCACCTTTCTTTCTCTTCCCCAAAATTATATAAGCCAGAATTCTGAGGGATTTAATGATTTGCCTGGTTTCTTTTTGTTTGGGAGAGAAAGTAGGGGGTTTCAATGATGAATTGAGGACAATAGACTGTTTGCACTGTTTCTTAGCCTGGAATTCCCTCTTCTGTCATCTCACTCAGCCTGTTGATGTGTAATCCAGTCTTCATAGCTTAGCTGAAATACCACCTCTTCCGTGAAGCCCTTCCCCTCATCTTCCTGTTTCCTTATAGTAGGCCCTGCTCTGATTTTGTAGAGTGTATAGGTATCCTATCTAATTGATATTCCATTTATTCGCATAGGCAACTTATCACTCCACCCCCACCCCTCTAGATGTTCATAATAATTAACACTTAAACAGTGTTTAAACTCTGCAAAGCATTTTCCTCACGGTAATCCTGTGAGGTTGGTGGTACAAGTATTCTCCCATTTTACAGATTAGATAACTGAGACCTGAAACAGTTAAATAGCTGGCTCAGGATCCTATAACTATCTGCTAAATAGCTATAGTCTAGAGACAGCACTTGAACCCAGGTCTTCTGACCTCAAGACCAAAAGTATTCTTTCTACTAGGAAAACATTGTGGGACGGTGAAAAGAGTGCTAAGATTCAACCCAGAGGACCTGTGTTCAAAACCTGGCACTGATATTTAATATCTGTGTAACCTTAGATGAGTCACTCTTTTTTCCTCATTTGTAAAAAAGAAGGGGATTTGATGATAAGGCCTCTTTAAGGCCCCTTGCTGCTCTAAACCTGTGAACCTCTGGCAGCATCCTATTAGCTCCTTGTGGATGGTCTTTCTTTGTGTCTCCCTCATGCTCAGCCCAGTACTTTGCAAATAGGCATTAGCTGTGGTTGAGTAAATAATTGCTTGCAGTTCCCTACTGCCAGTTTGAGTGGCACGCTCTCATGAATATTAAAGGGCCTTGGCCTTAGCCTTCAGCCTTCTGAGATATCTGCATCGTGATAGGCATTCTGGGCTGATGAAAACAATCTGGATTTGGAGACAGTGAACCTGTTTGCCTCCTAACTTCTGTACTCACCATTTGTATGATGGAGGCCATTTTGCTGGGACCTCTCAAGGCCTTAGGTTTCTTTATTTGTAGAATGAGCATATTAGAGGGTTAGCGTTGTACCAGGGAAAGAGCAGTGGATTTGAAATCAAAGGCCGGGTTCAAATCCCATGTCTACTACTTTTTACCTGTGTCACTTTGGGGCAAGTCACTTAAACTCTCTGGGCCACAGTATCGACATGTATGAAAAGAAAGGGTTAGACAAAATGTCCTTTAAAACTGTCTTTTAAGTTTGTGGTCCTAATATCCTATGACCAAATTATCTCAAAGGACCCTTTCCAGCTCTAAACCTACGATCTTGTCAGCCTTACATTTGTATAACATTTTCACAGTCCAAAGAGCTGTTTGATATAATATCATCTTAGCCCTGGGAGGTGGGTAGTCTGGGTTTCATTACCCCCATGTTACAGTAGAGAAAACTAAGGCTTATAGGCTAGATGTCTTGGCCAAGTTCACACACCTAGTAGGGTGCAAAAATGACATCTCAGTCTACTTTTTCAGGGCTCTTCCTGTCTGTCCCCACCTGCTTTGCTTACTACTACACATGGGTTTGTTGTTGAAAGCATATAGGCAGCTATGTGTTAGAGATCTCTTTTCTCCCTGATATTCAGTGATTCTATGACACCTTGACATTCTGCCAGTGACAGGTGAACATATATACCAGTTCATGGATTTAATCGAATATCTCAAGAGACATAGGTGGTAGCTTGGTGTTGTAGGCATGGGATTTGAAGTCAGAACTTGGTTTGAATCCTTCCTCTTTTGCTACATGAATAATCTTGGGAAAGTCATGGGTCTGTTTCTTTGTCTATAAAATGAGGGAGCTGAACTAGAGGATCTCCCTTCCAGCTTCAAATCCCTTGAAACTGTTCTAAAGTTATCTAGGCTGTGAGGAGATTTATAGATGCACACAATTGACAAGCTGCCCACACTGCTGAGCTTTAACCACTCGGTTGGGTGAATGAATTCTGTGACTGAGGTATGTTATCTGTGGTGTAGAGATTGGGAACCCCCTAGGGCAAGGGATGTATTTTATTGATGGTGCATAGTGATGTGTTCTTTATCAGTGTTCCGAGCAGTAATAGTACCTGTCCAAGGACTAGTTAATGAGGAAGTTCCTTGATCCAGCCAAGCATAGAGCATTACCCAGGTGTGTATGTCTGTGAAAACTGAGTGAGGGTTTTTGTTTTGTTTTTTTTTAGATGTGCTCAGAATTTGAACAGATCTGAATAAGATAGTTGGATACGAAAGGGGCTGCACTATTTTTTGGGGGGGGTAATTTCAGTAGGAGTCCGATTTCAAAAGAGAAATGATAAAATAGTTCTGAACTTGATACTCCTGATGACATTGTGATTACCCTTTGAGGGTAGTCCGGCCAGGTTGATGGACAAATGTGAACTGTCTAGCTGTTGTCTGAGTTTTGCAGCCTGGCTGCAAAGCTGTAGTCTCTGGAGAGTAGTTTTCCAGTTAGCTTGCTGGGAGTATTGGGTGGGAAAGTGCTGTTATGCCACTGTTTTTGTGTAGATTAGTATTTCCCCTTCAGTTTTATTGTAGAGGGGTATAGGAATGATTGAGATTTGAAGAGAAGACCTGGAAAAGAATTCACTGGAAATGAGGAACTGCCTCCCAGGAGAGATCTGTCTTTTATTTTCAGCCTTGTCATCTCCCACACAGCTCCAAGTGACAGGGAAACAGTCTTCGAGCTGACAGTGGATTAACTTAGAGATGGCTTCAGAATCAGGCAGGACCTGGAAGAAGGCCTGTACCTAGGGTTAGGGGAGAGAAAAATTGAGGACCAGCTTGTAATGGTAAAGGGAAGGGAAGGGTGACGGACCGTAGGTATGGTGCAGCTATTTGTGGGAGGGAAGAATCAGGATGGGAAAAAACCCCACCTTCTCAGGAAATGCTTCCCTCATATGGGAACTGAGCCTTAGAACTGGGGGTGGTTGTAGAAGGGAAGAAAGGAGGG